CTATTTCTGGCACCTGGAGGCCCCTGACCTTCTGCCTGCAGGTGGGAAAGGACTCCTAATCCTCAGCCGGGTTTCCTCCACCTGTCGCTTCCTTGCAAGGCTGTAGGGCTTCCCCTTCTGCGGCTGCAGGACTCCAACTGTGTACAGAGAGCTGTATGGCCCAGACCACAAGAGGACAAGCCAAGCGGCCTGGCCTGCCCCCCCGGCACACCCTCCATGTGACCCGCCGAGGTGGGGTCAGCAGGGCAATCTCAGAAAAGAGCTGGGTCTGCCAGCCCTGGCTGGGGCACTGCTCAGTCCTGGGGCCAGGGAACAGCACTTGCCCCAGGCAGGCTGCAGGGCTCTGGGTCCTGACCCTCCAGTGCATGTGGGCAGCCACCTCTCACCCACCTGTCTGTCCACCTGGGGCCCCTATAGGGCACCGCCGTGGGTGTCGAACCTGCAACTTCCAGGGATCTTGTCCAAGGTTGCACGGAGATGAGTGGGGAGGGAACAGCTAAGGCAGGTATCAGAGAGGAGGTGCCAAACAATGCCAAGATCCCTGGGCCTCAGTTTCCTCTCATGGGAGGAGGCACAAGTCAAGTAGAAGGAAGACCCCAGAGGGCCTGAGTTCAAACCTAGTTTTGCCTCTCCCTGGCTATGTCGCCTTGGACAGATCCCCTTCTTCTCTGTGCCTCAGTTTCCCCATCCATAAAGTGGAGCTAGCACTGACCCACTTTGGGAAGGGGAGTTGTTTAGGTTTGGATGCCTGAGGACCGGGCCCAAGGCCTGGCACAGGGCGTGCTCAGTGTTCCCTGGAGCACCTCAGCCTGCTGAGGGGGCAGTCACAGGAGCAGGACCCTGCCCGGAGGCCGAAGGAGTGAGCGGGCCCCCCCCCGGCGCTCGTTGGAGAAGGCAGGTGTGGGCGGGAGGGCGTGGGTGAGGGGCAGGCATGCGCCCAGGGGGCAGCACAGCTAGAGCAAGTGGGACAGGTGGAGGTGGGTGGTGGGCGATGGGGCAGAGGGACAGGAAGGACTCCAGTGGCCACACCCACGAGACAGCCTCTGCCCACCAGGGCCACGAGACCGCCACGTGCTGTGGCCACCAGACTGCAGCTGAGTGAGCAGGGCAGGCAGCACCAGGGGAGCAGGGCTGGTGCGGAGGCTCTGCTGCAGAAGCTCATTGTGAGCACGCGTGGGCAGGGGCGTCCTCCAAATAGAATGGGGTCCCGGGCAATGCCGGGCCAGAGCCCTTGTGCCCGTTCTACCAAGGGGAAACCGAGGCTCAGCAGTGGGGAAGCACTAGTTCAAAGCCGCTTCCTCTCTCCCAGGCTGGCTCAGTCAGCAGCTGCATCCCCCAGCACGGGCTGCCCACCAGCAGGCAGCCGAGGGCGCCGCGAGGGCAAGTGAGTGGGGTGGGACGTGCCCCCAGAACTCTAGGCTCTTCCAGCCAGAGGGTCCTCAAATCCCACCCAGCAAAGCCACATGGCTCTTGTGAGTCCGGTGATCCTACGCGCTCTTGGGGTGCAGTGGGTGGGCAAGGCTGGTAGGGGAACCACCAGGCAAATCAAAGGCCTCCGGTGTGGGCCATGGCTGGCAGGGTCCAGGGCTGGCCGGAGCCGAGCGCAGGGGCATCACCCTGAGGGATAACGAGCCACCAGTGGGGTCTGAGGGGCTGGCTTGGAGGAAATGCTCCCCAAACATTAGCCTTAGAGGTGGATCCCGGGGCTGGGGCCAGGTGGGCCCCCGGGCCAGGCCAGGCAGTGTGGGCCCTTGGAGGATGGGCAGGGCGGCCCTGGGGGGCCGGGCCAGGTTGAATCATGGCCAGGAAGTAAGTACAGTCTGGGCACCAGGGCTGTGGCAGTCCCTGAGCGCTTCCTCATTCCTGGCCCCGTGGGAGTAGCTGGACCCCGGCATTCCGCTGCAGCCGCCACTGCGGATTTGCTTACCGTCTCACGGGGAACCGGGGCCTCCTGCCAAACTGCCTGGCCTGGCCCTGGGCCCCATGCACGCCATCCCCGAGGGCCCCACCAACCACTAAGTCCTGGCCCTGGGCCACCTCCTACTCTCAGATGGGGAGACTGAGGCTGTACATCAGGGGGTCAGCCCCAGAGGCTGCCCATATGTCAGGAAAGGACAGGGCTCGGACTCTGAGTCCAGTGCTCTTTTCTGTCGTCCCTTCTCCACGCCCTGGGGGGGTGCATCCTCCCTGAAAAGCCCACCAGGAGGCCTCTCCGCTGGGATCTGGGTCTGGGGCCAGGTTCCGTGGGTGCCCAGGCTGGACATAGTGAGGATGGGGGCTGTTTGATCAGTGGTTCCGCCCAATGCCAGGTTGCCGGGGACAGTGGGCAGTGGCCAAACCGGCCCCACCACATGCTTTCCGGCCCTCGGCAGGAATGCCATTCATGGCCCATGTGTGCACGGCCACCGCAGGCTGCAGGCTATGAGGCTGGCCCCAGGCCGGGCCTCTGGGGAGAAGCAGCAAGGACTGCGGCCAGCTAGGGGCTGTCAGGCTTCAAGGGGCCTCAGGCTGCCTTCCCACGCCTGGCGATAGTGAGGAGGGCCCCTGGGGCCACGTGAGCCAAAATCCATCAGACACACCTGGACAGGGGCCTGAAGCCAGACCCCACTTCGGGTCAGAAGAGGCACAGAGGCATGGTCACAGGAGGGGCCCAGGCCATCCCCTCTCCAGAGAGCAGCTCCTGCCCAGCCCTGGGAGTCAGGTCCGGGCACCAGGCCCACAGCCCTCCTCTCCCTGCAGCCTGAGCCGGTGCTGTCCAGGGAGGCCTGGGGGCCCATGTCCAGCCCCCACTAGTGACCCTTGCTGGGTGGGGCTGGCCCGAAGGTGCCCAGAGGCAGACAGGCTCAGCTCAAGCCGCAGGTTGAGACTTGGACGGGGGTCTCAGGGCTGAGGGTGGGAGGGATGGCTCCCCTGGGGTAGAGCCCTCGCAGCCCCTGGGGAGGGGCGAGGAAGTCACAGGGGCTGGGGGCACATGAGGGCCCAGGGCACGTCCTTGGTGGGCAGCCATGTGTCCCCACTGTCAGGGTGAGAGCCGCAGGGGCGTCGCGGGTGGGGGAGCTCCACACACACTCGCTTCTCTGATTCCAGCGTTTATTGGGGCCGAGCGCTCCCCTCCCGGGGAGGCTGGCAACACAGCCGTCAGACGCGGGCACTTCAAGGACATGCGGCACCTTGGCCACCACGGTGCCCCCGGGCCCCCCTGACCCTCCCACCCAGGGAAGGCCCCGCTGCTGACAGACTCTGGGGAGGGCAAGGTGCCTGGCGGCCAAGGGACAGTGCTAGTGACTCGGTGGCCTCAGGGCCCCCGAGGGTCCACGCAAGCAGGAGGAGCCTGGCTCGGGGGGCGGTGGCCGCAGCCACCCCCCACCTCCGGTACCCAGTGTAGGTCACAATAATTTAAAAGACACTATAGACATTTCAACGCTATATAACAATATAAGTTAACCAGGTTCCTTGGCAGAGGACACCGGGCCTGTGGACTTGGGGGTGTTCCGGGACTCGGGGTGGGGGTGAAGAGATGGGGCGGGGGGGGCATTCACAGTGGCCCAGAGGCTCAGAGTGTCCGGCGTGGCGGGGGCACTCAGCCTGGGTGCCAAGGCCAGGGCCCAGACGGGGGTCGCTTGCCCAGGCCATGTCCAGGCACGTGGCTTGCCAGCGGCCCAGAAGCCCCTCTCCACGGGCGTGGTTGAGCACACCCTGGGGGTGCCGGGGCAGTGGAGGGTGCCCCAGAAGTCAGTCGAAAACCATCCTCTCTGGCCTTGGGCAAGTTCCTCCCTCTGTGCCTCAGTTTCCTCCGAGAGAGGGGTGGGAAGGTCTGGAAAGGACACGTCCAGCCCCGGATCGGGTTTGCTCAGCATGAGGTTCTGGGTGAAAGGACCAGGACAGGGCTGGGGGGACCCTCACAGGCACCGAGAGGGGGTGCAGGCCGCAGACGGAGCAGTGGGGTTTCTCAAGGCACAGGGGCCCCGGGCTGGGCAGGGAACAAGGTGGGAGCCTCCACGCGCACCCCCGGGGTCTCCGGCAAGTCCTTGTGCCATACTGGGCCTCAGTGGCCCCATCTGTCAACGGGGCAAACATCCCTGCCCACTGCCCGCTGCCTGCCAGCCCTGCCACAGCACTCTCCTGGGGTCAGGCTGGCTCCAGGGTGGGAGGGGGCTCTGTAAACTGGAGGTGCCAGGCCAGGAGGGTGACAGGACTGAGGAGGGGATGAGGCACTCCTGGAACCCGACATAGGTGACATTTTGCTTTGCTTGATATGATTTTCAAAAGAAGGGTGGGCGGCTGGAGGGCCCTGTCCGTGGCTCTCTTGCGAGGCCCCTCGGCGCCGTGTAGGCCGCCGAGCCCCCGCCCAGCTCACTTCTGGGACCGCAGGCGCGGTGGGGTCCCCACCAACAGGGGCTGCCTAGGACGTGCAGGGAGAGTAAGCAGGGAGGGTGTGGGGGGCGACACAGAGCGCGGTTAGGACTGGCAACGCGCTAGCGCTGAGAATCCTCCTCGCAGACTATGAACACATAAATAATTCTCGTCAACATCTGTCCACACCGCCCTGGGACTAAGCTGCAGACAAGGCCTGGAAAACAGTCTCAGGTGACCGGCTGGCATGGCCGTGCTGTGTCCGTGCCACCAGGCAGGGCAAGGGACCCTCAGAGTCTTGTCATCACTTTGCTTTCCGCGATACAGGAGCGTCCTGGAGCTTCACTTTCCCAGGGAAAGAAAAGGAGTTTGCGGGGCACTCAGGGAGCACCAGCACCGTCGTCCTTGTCCTCTCCACAGGTCACAGGCGCCGTTCTGCCACGGGAGGTGACGGGAGCGGGTGGCAGGAGGGAGCCCCTGGGGGACAAGGGGAGGCGGTGGGCCCCGGCCGATGCCCTCCTGCACCGGGAGCTCCCACTTTCTGCGTCCACCTCTGCCCACAGCTGGCAGCGCCACGGCAGGAAGGCAAGGGCGATGTGCAAAACACCGCCGGGGGGGGGGTGCCCGCGGCGCCCGTGGTGGCCGCCTCACTTGCAGGTGAAGACCTCGGTGCGCTCGCTGCAGGTGTTGCACTTGACGTAGCAGCACCAGTGGAACTTGCAGTTGCACTGCCAGACCTTGGTGTACTGGTGGGTGTTGTAGCCGCGGCCGCAGCACATGGTGTCGCAGCCGTCCGCGCCGGGCGAGGTGCGATTGCACAGGCGGCCCTGTGTGCCCACACTGCCGGTGGCCGCGTCCTCCTCGCAGTAGTTGGGTGACTTCTCGATGTACACCAGGTCCGTCTCCATGGGCTTCTGGTAGCTGCGCAGCTGTTTGATGCGCAGGAAGGTGGGCTGCCGCAGGCGGCTGGCCCGCACCACCTCCACCTGCACGGCCGCGTTGTACTTCTCCTTGAGCAGGTGGCCCACCTCGCGGAACTTGGGCAGCGTGGTCCAGCAGGTCTTGGTGGTGCACGAGCCTGACACACCGTGGCACTTGCACTCCAGCTGCATCCGGTCCTCCAGAACCTGCAGGGGACAGAGCAGCTGCTCGACACGGCGCAGCCCAAGCCGGGCGCCATCTGAGCCCCCGCCCCCACCTCCAGCCTGACCCCAGAGCCCACTCCTCCACTTCGCGCTGTGTGGCCACGGGTGAGTGTTTCTCCCTCTCTGAGCCTCAGCCTCCTCGTCCATTAAATGGGGCTACTAACAACAGGTCCCTACTGCACAGGACGGGTCCAGCAGGAACATTCAGGACTTGGCAGGGCTTGGTGTACTTTCATCCAATCTGTTTTGCTGGGTTTTCACAGCCCTCCAAGGTGTGGCTCTACGACCATCGGTGCGATGATGAGGAAACTGGGCTCGGGTGCCAGGGACTTGCTGCAGGGCATAGGGCAGCGAGGGGCCCAGCAACAGTAGGTGCTTAATAAGTGTGCATCCCTCCCTCTTGCCACTCCCTGCCCTTGTGCCTGGGATAGGGGCTGGCATGCAGTTGGTGCCTAACCAGCGGCTGTTTGTGAGAGCCTGGCATGCCCATGGAGCTCAGTGCACGTCTGCCCAAGGACCTGGCTGGGGCGGAGGCGCGAGTGCGCAGGTCGCCAGGCGGCCGTGCTGGGAAGCGGGCGGCCTCTGCCCGCCCGATGTTGTTCTTTCTCCCCGGCTCCACGGGGCCCTTGCTGGGCGCAGCCGTGTGTTTTCCTTGGGCCTCCCTCCGAGGCCCCGGAAGGCCCGTTCCCAGAGCCAGCCATGACCCCAGGTACTCATTTACCCGGATCGAAAGGGCCCTGCCAGCCGGGCCTGATTAAAGACGGGGAATCGTTAGCTGCTGCTCTGCGGCGGCAGAAGGGCCATTTGTCAGCTGTCGGGGCTCCGCTGGCCTCGCCTTGGCGGCCCAGCTCTGCCCCCTGGGCCAACACGCACAGTCAAGGGGAACCTGCCGTCAGCCCCGCTCTGGCCCACAGAAGTCCCCAGCAGGTGAACGAATACATGAATGAATGAGCCAGTGAAAGACACAGAGGGAGGGAGTCGTAGCCCACAGGTACGACCACTGCCCCAGCACCCTCCCCTGGCCCAGCGCACACGGCCCTGGATCTCGGAGGGGACCTCTGGGGCTCACAGTCCAGTGAGGGAGAAGGAGGAGAAGGACATGCACGATGCAGCTGTTGCAGGAGCCCACGAGAACCTAACCCTGCTGGGTGATGGTGCCTGGGCTGGGGCCTTCCTGGAGGAGATAGTGCCCACACTGGGTATTGACGGATGAGTAGGAGCTCGTTAGACAAATAGGAGGGTGTTCCGGGAGAGGTTCAACATGGGCAAAGGTCTGGAGACCACCGGGCCTGAAGGGAAAGATCAGGCCACACGCATGTCAAGTGGGCGCAGGGTGGGCCCTGAGGCTGGGCCTGGAGTTGGGGGGTGTCTTCTGCTCTGCGGGAATGGAGAGGACTGGAGAGGCTGGGGAGGAGGAGGGGAAAGGAGGCTGACAGCAGGTGCCAGAAGCTGATCCTCCCCAGAGGTGCCTCGATGGCCCGAAGCCTGGCTGGGTGTCCAGGCTAGAGGTTTTGCGTGCCAGGTGGCCCTCTTGGTGTGCCCACTGGTGTCCCCACTGTGGCCTGTTGCACAGCTGCCTCCCCACTGTGCTCCGCTGCCCTCCCCTGACCCCTAGGCCCGTCTCCACATCCACATCAAGGGCAGGTGGCTCAGCCTGCACCCTCCTGCCCACCTGGGGACCTTCAGACCCTGCACGGTCAGGCCAGTGACCGGCAGCCGATGAAGCCGATTGGGCAGCTGTTTGCAGAGTGAGGGGCCACATCCTCGCTTGGCTGGGTCCCCCGGGCCAGAGCCTCTCCCGGGAGGTGATCACAAGATTCAAGAATGTGCCTTTTCCTTCTCCTGAGCCCCGGCCATGAGCACGACAGCAATGGTGGCGCCAGCGGCAGCGGGAACATTGGGGCACTGAGACCAGGCCCCCGCCCCAGAAGACCACAGGGCAGGGTGCAGAGCAGCGCTGAGGGGGCTGAGGCAGGGGCTGCTAGCCCAGGCCATGGTTCCGCGCCCTGCCAGGGCTGTGGGGGCGGGCGGACTGGGGCCCCTCTGGGAAAGGGCCAATTTGGTGTTCTTCCCACAACAAAGGTGTGGCCCATGCTCTGGGAACAGTGCTCCGTTATAGCCCAGGGGCTGGGGGGAGAATGGGGGTGGCGGACAAAGTCCTTCCGGGGGAGTCCGGTGTCCGGGTGCACCAGCGGAAGACACCTCGCGCATCACCCCAGCCGTAGCCTGGGGCCGGCGGCTCTGAGCCTAGGCCGGGGACAGAGGCCCCTGCACCCCCTCCGCCGGGGCAGCTCCCAGGCCTGCCCATTTCCTGACCCTCGTGGCATGAGCCTGACATGTGAGCCCCTTGGGGACATGGCCCGTGTTGGCTTCACCCTCTCACCACAGGCCCATGTTGTGGACTGAATGTGGTCAGCAAGCGAAGTTATTTCATCAGCCGCTGGGTCGAGATGGAGAGAGTGTGGCCGTGAGGTCCCGCCGGGCTGGGGGGACAACTTCTCGGCTCTGGGCCTGGCATGAGTCTTGTGGCACCTCAGTCAGGTAAGGGCTGTGCCGAGACATGGTACACGTCCAGCTAACAGGGCGCCTGCCCCAGCTCCTGGAGCCGGGGGTACTCCGCAGCGATGACCCCCCACCCTCACGTGACCTAGAGAGGAGCCCAGAGGTGTCCCGACCACAGCCCCGGGCCTCCCAGGTGGACGATCTCTTGCCTCCACTGGGGTGGTGCAGAGGGAAGAGACCCGGCTTCCACCGGCACAGGCATGGCCTCCGTCTGCCCCACGCAGCGGCGGGCCACACACTGGCCAGCACTGGTCCCTGATGCCTGCATAACCACAGGGGATGCCCCAGGGCTCTTCCAGCCCAGGCACTGCGTGGCTGCTCACGGGAGCCCACCCAACCCGTGCGGAGCTTGCGGGGGCAGCCATTCCGGGGCTCGTGGAAGCCGGGCACGAGCAGGACTCCGGGCTCAGCCCCTCTGACTCCCACCCGCCAGGGCACTGGCCTGGGGTGAACGGCCAGTGTGGTGGGCTGGATAGTAGCCCCTCTCCAAGTTCATGTCCCCTGGTAACCTCATAAGGGGGCCTCACTTGGAAACGGGGTGTTTGCAGCTGTAATTAAGGAAAGGATGGGGATGGGATAACGCTGGGTTATCCGAGTGGTGCTAATCCGATGGCCAGTGTCCTCCTGAGAGACAGCGGAGGAGACAGGCTCTGGGGAGGAGGCCACATGAACACAGGCCAGGGCTGGAGTGATGCAGCCACGAGCCAAGGAGCACCGGCAGCCACCGGAAGCTGGCAGAGGCAGGAAGGATCCTCCCCTGGGGCTTGGCAGGGATTGGGCTGGCCGACACCTGCTATTGGGCTTCTGGCCCCAGACTGCGACTGCGAGAGAACACAGGCGTGTGGCGCGTAGCCATGCGGCTGCAGCTTCCTTTCCACCTGACCTGCTGGACAACATGCTCCCGAGGCAGTGGGGTGGGGCAGGCCTGCAGCCCTGGGAGGGGCGAGGGCACCCGGCACTGGGGGGCCATGAAGGTCTGGACCCAGTTCTTCTGGAAACCCCAAAGAGCCCCACCCACACCCACCCCTGCCGCCATGAGCACTTTGCTGCTGGGAAAAGGAGCTCGCCACCGAGGGTCACTGTGAAGCCACCACCTTTTCCAAGGGCTCAGGCCCACCTGTGCCACACAGCTGCATGGCCGGGGGCTGTTAGAGGGGTGGGGGAGGAAAAGCGCCTCTCGCCCACCATACAGGTGAGGAGACAGAGGCTCAGCAAAGGGACGGGCTCAGCCAGGGCCTCACAGACAGTTGGGCACAGTACAGTCTGGGAGTCCAGCCGCTGACCACTTTAGGCCCTTCCCTGTGGCTGCCCCATCCCTGCTGAGCCCTCAGCCTCCCATCCCTCATCCATCCATCTATCCAAACATCATCCATCCACTCATCCATCTGCCCATCCATTCATCCACCCACCCATCCACCCATCCATCCATCCACCCGTCACCCCTCCATCCATTCATTTGGTGATAATAACCATCTGCTGCATGAAAATCTCTACATCTACAAAAGACAGTCAAACCCTTGGCCTGGTGTTCAAGGCCTGTTCTGTGCTGGCCCCTGCTTGCTTCTTCAGCCCCGTCTTGTGCTCCCAGCAGCCTGAACCATCTGCAGGCCTCCTGGGGCCAGCTCCCCTTGCCTTTGCTCTTCTTAGCTCTGGCATGTCCTTCGAGGCTCCACTCTCATGGCACCTTTTCCAGGAAGCTTCTCTTCCCTCCCCAACCTCCCAGGCTGTTGCTGTCCTGGGTGTGGTCCCCATACCCTGCATGTGGACCCAGCTACCCTAGCCAGGGCCATGTCTGGCTCCTCTCTGCCCCTATGCCCAGCCTAGCACCTGGCCCAGAGAAAGGGCAGGTAGCATTTGTTGAATGAAGAAGCGAGTGACCAATGGTCTGGGGCAGAGGGATTTTTCAACTCCTCTTTGCCTGGCAGGCAAGTCTGCCTGTGCCCGAGGAGCCTCCCAGGCCCTGCTTCCCTAGGTGCAGCCCCCGGGGAGGGGAGCCAGGCAGGCCTGGCGTTCCACATGGCTGGCTGCTCTATCTCGGGCCATCTTGCCGCCATGGCGGCTGCTCCTCCCAGCCAGTATCTGGGCCCTCATCTCCCTGCGGGTGGGGCCAGGCTTACCCTGGCTTCTTCCCCAGTGTGGCCCTATCTGAATTTCCCCCACTAGCACCCCGCACGCCATCCCGTGCACGCAAGAAGCTGGCTGCTCTTCAAGAGCCCTCGACTCACAGTGTCCGCCTCGCTCAGGCCACTCCCCGTCCTGGGAGCATCCCTTCCCTGGCCTCTCAAGGTGATCGCGCCAAAGGCTGCCTCCTCCAGGAAGTCTTTCCTGGCGTGTCGGCGTGGCCTCTGGGACCGGGAACACCAAGGGCAGGGACATAAGGCTGTGGCTGGGCACCCCCCACCCTCAGGTCCCCAGCCAGCCCAGCTCACACCCGGGATGGAAACAGGGTCCCTGTCCAGCCCTGCATCACGTCACCACTCAGGGCCTCAGTTTCCACACTTTGGGATGGGAACAGCGTGGCTGCCTCTTAGAGCTGTCGGGCGGCTCCGAGCGATGCACCTGGAGGACCCAGGGCACCTGGCGCCACCCACCGCACACCTGCGGGGCTCAGGTCATCAACTGCCTCCACTAGAAGAGGCACCTGAGGCTCAGAGAGGTCGGAGACCCTCGGGCGGCGCAGCGGACACAGCCGACACAGCAGCGGCACCGCGCCTGCGCGCGCCCTACCTTCCTGCCGGCCTCGTTGTTGTGCAGGTTCATCAGGCGCCGCGCGTTCTTCTTGATCTCGCGGGCGTCCACGAAGCGCCGCGAGAAGTCGATGCCATAGCGCACGTCGGCGGAGCAGCCGCCCCACTTCCAGCCTTCGGCCTGGTTGTAGTAGCCCTGCTTCTCGCGGTCGCAGCCGCAGTTGCTCAGGTTCCCCTGGCTGCAGGCGGCGGTGACGGCGTGGGCCACGCCGGCCGCGGTGATGGCGTAGGTGAAGGCGGCCTCACGGCTCCCTGCGGGAGAGACGGTGCGCACGGTGAGGCCCCCAGCTCGGAGCCGGAGCCGGCTGGGCCCAGGCGACTGAGGGCTGGGCCTTGGTGCCCCTGCTACTGGCTGGCTGTGTGACCCTGGGCTCGTCACTTCCCTCTCTGAGCTTCCGACTCACCAAAGTGGGGCTGAAAGTGCCCGCCTTGTGGGCTGCGGTGAGGGCAGTGCCTGGTATACAGCAGGCACTCAGTGCATGCTGTGGCCCTCCCAGCAGCACGTAACACCGCATCGGCAGCTTCTCTCCCTGTTCCCAAGAGAGGGAGAGGCCCAATGTCTCCAGCCCTGGGAGCGAGCAGTGGGGGTCTGCGCCTCGGCCTTCTCCCCTCTGCCAGCCTCCCAGATGCTGTTCCTCAAGGACAAGCCATTTGTGCTGACCGCCGTGGGGACCACGTGTGCGTGGAAGACAGAAGCTGAGGCCGTGGGGAGCACAGGGCGCCCCGTCCCCACCCGCCAGCCAGGAGCCCGGGCAGACGCCACGCAGCGAAGCCCACCCAGGCTCTCCTGTTGCTGCCTCCCTTTCTGACCACCCCCCTTCAACCCATCACCGGGCCCTGGGCCCCCGAGTCTCCCCTCTCCTCCCAACACCCCTGCCTGGCTCAGGGGCCCCTGAACCGCCCAGACTTGGGCACCAGTCCTCCCTGTCCCTCACTCCCCCGGCTGCCAGCTGGGTCCTTCCAAGCGCGGTCCGGGCAGAGTCCTCCCTCCCGCTGGCAGAGCCAAGCCCACGGCTGGGCTGAGAAGGGAAGGCGCCAGGTCAACGCCCGCTGGCCTCCCTACCCCTCTTCCGTCCTCTGCCCAGAACAATGACTCGATCCTTCCGGGTGCTGCTCACATCCCTGGGAGGTTACGTGGTCTCTGGTGAAATTCCCTTTCCCTTCATGCCTGACAGCGAAGGACCTCCCGAGGCCTGATTCCAACGCCTCCTCCTCCAGGCAGCCTCTCCAGACTTCCAGCCAGGAGGGCGCCCTTGCAGCCAACCCTAGTCCCAGCATGACCCAGATCCAGACACTCTCTCCCTCGTGAGCCCTACAGGTGGGGACTCCCGCGTGAGTCCAAAGCCTCCTTGTCCACTTCTAACTTATTCTTCTTTATCTCCCACAGCCCCAGGCCGGGTCCTGAGCATCCTTCCCTCCCGGCCCTGCACTCTCGGTCCCTCTCCGCTTGCCCGTGGTCGTGGCTGTGTGGCCTCCGGGGCCAGTGCCTGGCGCCACGCAGGCTAAATATTGCCGACTGGAGAACCAAGAGCCAAAGCCCACGAGTGGGAGTCTCACCGCCCATCTCAGCAACACCTGGGGCAGGCCCAGCACCCAGTCGCAGGACGGGGCAGCGGGAGACCCACTCTGCAGCCACTGCCGAGTCCCGCGCCCCGCGAGCACCAGCACGGCCCTCCCTGCGCCCGGTGCTGTCCTGTCATTAGGGCTGAGGTGACTGCCGCAGACTGAGAGAGGCTCCACGGCCAAGTCAGGTGTGTTCCTTGCGCTGTCACTGAGCACCAGCTGCATGTCCAGTCCCATGCTAGGGGCTAACTGTGTGCCCTGGGGGCCACCTCCTTAACCCCAACCAGCTGGGGGGCTCACCCAGGTGGGGCGCCTCTTCCCCTGGGATATCTTCCAAGGGGTGAGGACCAGGCCGGGGGCCACTGTTCTTAGGGGCCCAGGGCCGAGCGGACTTTGGTGGCCGTCTGCTGTCATGGAAGGGCCCACAGCTTCTTGGGAACTTCTTTACTCTGAGAAGAACTGAGGGGAGGGTGGCGACCAGTGTCCCCTCCTCCCCAGCAGGATGCGAGTCTGCAGAGAGCCGCCTCCTTCCAGCTCAGGATGCTCAGCCCCTGCCCGACCGGGCTTTGCCCCGCCAGCCTCGCCTCCGCTCTTCTGCCCACTCCCTGCCTGGGACAGGGACAGGGAGGACGTGGGACTCCACCTCCCTGGGTCTCAGTGAGGTCAAGATGATCTGAAGGGTTTGAAGTGGGTTATTGAACTCTCTGCATTGCCTGAGCCCAGCAAGCAGGGCCTGCGGACGAGCTGCCCACCAGAAAGCCTCACTGGGGCCACGCGGACAGAGGGAGGGAGAGGAAGTAGGTGGAGAAGCGAGGGAAGAGCTGAGAGAAGGGGCACGAGGGAGCATCGTGGCACCTCAAAGGATTCCCTGACCTGCCTCTGTGGAGTGGAGTCAAGGGAGGCTTCCTGGAAGAGGTGACATCCTAACTAAGTACAGCAAGTCATAGCAAGGACTATGAAATAACTCCCTGCCTGTGTGTGTGAGTGGTGGGTTGTGACAGCCGTACAGGCGGACACTCAGAGGTGGGCCGGGCAGGGGTGAAGGTGCCGAGGTGTGGAAGGGTTTGCTGAGGTCAAGGGTAGTAACAGGAGGATAGCGGTCGGGGGAGTCAGGTGGAAGCAGGCGGCAGGTGTAGGGCCAGACGCGGTGGGACTTGGATGTTAGGGTGCCCACCCTGGCTACGCGGGGACGAGGATTCTGGAAATTCTTGGAGGCAGATGGGCAGAGCTGTGCTGGCCCGTCCCTGTCACAGCCAACACTCACATGGCTCTCACCTGTGCCACGCACGCTTCCAGCCCTTCACATGTGTTCTCACGTAACTCCCAACAACCGGGCGAAGCAGGTCGAATCATTATTTCCATTTCACAGGTGAGGAGACTGAGGCCCAGTGGGTATGAAACCAGGTGTTCGTGGCTGAGGCAGGGTTTGAGCCCAGGCAGTGGATTCAAAGCCCAGAAAGGCTGAGGGAGAAGCTAAGGCCTGGGGTGGGGGGTCCTTGGAAGCCATCTGCCCCCAGCTTGACCCTTTTGTAGCTAAGTGACTCTCGGCAGGAGGAGACAGGGAAGGGGCTGAGCAGCCGCCGGAGGAGAATGCCGCGCGGGGACCGACTGCAGACCTCGGTGCGGGGCTGGCGCGGGCAGACTAGGGGTGGGGAGCTCTGGGGAGGCCAAGCTGGCTCCGGAGTGGGCACGTGTCACAAGCGAGGCCCCCAACAGAGGAGTCTAGGAAACCCAAGCGAAGGTGCAGTCACGTCAAGAGGGAGAAGTCCCTGCACGAGGACGGATGTGGCTGCTCCCTCGGAGGCCCTGGAGCCGGTGGCCCTCCTCCTCCTGCCAGGTGAGCGGGTCGGGGACGGACGTCCTGCTGCCCCGAAGCCCCCAGGCGGGCCACAGGTGCCAAGGCTGGGTCTGCGTGCTCTGAGGACAGATCGTGACAGCCGCCCTCCCGTCCTTCCTGCAGGTTCCTGCCCTCACCTGGCCGTGCCCACCCCGGGCTCCGGCTCAGTTACTCATCAGTTACTCACCGCCTGCCACTCCCGCTAACTCCTTCTTTATTTGGTTTTAATGAGCCAAACCCTCTCGTCTCTCGCCATGGAGACCGGGGGGGGTTAACTTGCGGGCGGAGTTTGCGTTTTTGGGGGGTTCACCAGGACGGGCTTTGGTTCCGGTTGAGTCGCTGCCAGGGACCGTAGCTCCCGCGTGCCCAGTAGGCCGCGTGTGTTGTCGCCTTTAATTCTCACAACAGCCCCACGGGGAGGGCTGGTTGCCCCATTTGCCGCACCGGACGCCAGCTCAGAGGGCTTCGTAACTCGCCCCAGGTCACGCCGTGCTGGGCGTGGGGCCGAGGGCAGAGCAGTTCCAGGCTTCCCCGTCTGCCTCCCGAAACCACTCCCGGGGCCCCGGCTGGGGCGCCTTGCCAGTCCCCGGCAGTGCGTGCTCCCTCCCGGCAAGGGCGTGTGGGTGCTTAGATTTAGGAGAGGCTGATCCCTGGTGCCCGGTGCGGACAGCCTGGACCTGTGGACCTTGCCCAGCAACCTCGATGGCTCCCGAGGCCTCTGTGACGACTTCCAGTGCCTCGGCCTGGCCCCCAAGGCCTGGGCCCACCTGTCCTCTCCCACCACTCTGAGCTCCGCAGCTGCTCCAGATGTGTCTAGTAATGGGGGGCTATTGGACAAAGGTAGCCTGGATGGTCTACGGGGGCCAGCAGCCGTCCCGAGGCCCCTCTCAGGACCCAGAGCCTCCCCCAGCACAGGTCTACACCCTCAGACACTGGAGCGCCACCGCACCCGGCAGTACCCTTGAAATGCCAGCGACAGGTGAGCAGGCCCCGCGCTGGCCCCACCCCCCAGGCTCTGTTGAGCCCCCGTGTGGGCTTCTGAGTCCTAATGGTCCCCAAGGGCCCCAGCCCTGACGCAGGGTCCCTGTGTCCAGTGCGGTCTGTCTCGGGTGCCTGGGCCAGCGCAGGTGCACGCCGATAGCCCACGGCCCTGCCCGAGGTTCAGGATGGGCAGAGCGGGAGCTGCTGGGAGGGAGACTCAGGGCAGAGCCAGGAGCACTGGACTTGGAGTCTCACAGCTGCTGTGTGGCCCCAGGCAAGTCACAAGCCCTCTCGGAGCCTGTGTTCTAATCTGCCGCAGCAGCCATCGCTGAGAACAAACAGGACTAACAGGCGGCCAGTGGGCCAGGCCGGCTGCAGGGCCACCACACACAGCCAGCACTTCCAAGACAGGCCCAGGCATCTCCGCGCTCCGTCCAGACTGGGCTGAAACAGCCTCCCCCGAAGGCCCGGCCCAGCAGCCCTGCCTGGGTGTCCGTCCACTCACATTCTGGGTAAACCCAGAGCGGCAGACCCTCGGAGACCACCACCACGTGGGGACACTGAGGCCACACTGCTCTCTCTGCAAGTAACTCAGGCCCTCACTGAGCCCATGTTACCCCCTCTGCAATGCCAACAGACTCGATGCCCGCAGAACGGGGTTGTGCCCAGGCCGCGCTGTGGCCTCGTCCACCGGTGAGCCCCTCGCTCTGACCCGAGGAGAAGGAGGACGCTGGAGACCCCGGCAGACCCTGGTGAGCAATTTCTGGAAGGAACAAATGCACATCCGGAGCAAAGCCGGGGCTTGGGCAGAACATGGCTGCCCCCTCCTTCCCGGGGCTGAGCCCACCCTCCCCAGCCCAGGTATGGCCTC